GTTCTTTGGAATATACTACATGTGTGAAGCAGCGCAACAGCATAAATTCTTTTCCAGTGATCTGTAGATTGAATGCTATTTCAAACATATTCATATGTATGTTGATTTGAACTGACTATCCTTCGGGCTTCATCTTTACTCACAATCCTCAGTTCATCGATTCGACCATACACTCCAAAGCACTATATTCGAGTTTCACTTTTACTGGAGCTCATCAGTAGTGCATATCCACCGTCCCGTCCGGGATTTGAAGTCCAGCTTATTCATCAACTTAACTGCTGTTAAAATTGATCACACTTGACAGTTGCGTCCTGCAGGGTTTTTTTTAACTTGTCGACATACTCAGTAAAAAGGACACATTCAGAATATCACAAATAACAAAGTCATTGCATATCTGGATACTTGAGACATTCTGATTTAATATACACTTGTCTTAATCCCACATATCAGCAACACGGGCGATTTAGCTGTTCTAGTTTTAAAAAAATACTTTTCACAATTTGAAACATAAAAATTTAATCTGTCAAGAGTCGAGTTGATCTGTATTGCATCGTCGTTCTCGCTTGTCAGAGTCCAGACTGCGTGGTAAATAAATCACCGCACTACAGTTATGATAAAAAATGTGATTTACTCCATGATTTTCTAGTAGGCGTGATAATGATAGGTTGTTTTGCCCAATGCAAGTGATCTTTCTTGGGGGATTCTCAACTGTGGCTCTCGACCTGCCAAAGAGTGATTCCCAAGGCAGTGGAGTATTGTGCAAAAACCCCGGAATCCAGTTCATTGAGACATTATCCAAAGATTATTTGACATTTTAGACTTTATTCGGTTTCTAATAACCGAAATCCAATGACGAACAACGCAGACTGGAAAGAGCATTAGTTCGCTCTTGAGAATTTCGAAACTATCAACGAAGCTCGTATCAAACAACAAAGAGAGAGTTTCTCAAATAAGGGAAGCAACTAGTCAAGAATCTCCCAAAATACCGGGTCATTCCTTTATATCGGTAACCACCACTCACCATATAGCCGGACTGATGACGTCACCTCGGTCCGTGATGAAACACACACATGTCGTCTGACTACCAAGCTCGTCAGGTAAACGCATACTACGGTACTCAGCCCGAAGTATCAACCTACGAATATAGTTGATGAACCTGTTTAACGCTGCGTTTATGTTTCCAGAATTGTGACTCAATGTGTCATCTTTATTATATATATATAAGTGGAAGGAGGTAAGTACTCATACCACAATTTCCCGAGTCCGCGCAAATAAACAACACAATACAAGCCATAGATACCGTACGTAATGGTCCGGTGTGTAATCGATTGTGTGTTGGATCCTAGTCACCCAAACTGATAGGCGAATGTCACAAGGTCAAGTACGTCGAATAGCTGGGTTCATGATGGCGTGAATGTGTCAGGGTGGTGAAACGACCGGTGTGGTTAGTGCATGGTCATATGACTGGTTGCCTTGTCCTAGTGCGTGTCTGTGTCACATGGCCGGTAAGCATTGTCACGATGTGCGTGAGTGTCTATTGTGTGTCACATGACTGAGTCAACCAGTGTGAAAACATGTGTAGGTAGGCTGAATCGATTTATGTGTGTGTGGGGGTGGGGGGGGGGAATAGCACCCGGTCAGGAAGCATGATGATTCACCAGGACCACATCGGAAATCTTTGACTTTACAGGCCATGTCTTTCAAGTGGCTCAACAGATTACCAGGTCTGGTTTCCGAGATGGTACCTGTTTCTTTCGGGCATGGGAAAGTCTGAGTCACCTCTATGAAAGCGCGGGGTGTATGAAACAAGCTGGACTTGTGAAAGGTTGAGTTAAACGCTTCCCAGGAACGCTGTTACTGTAACATACCGCATCAAGACCGCCTTACCGACGGGCAACAAACACAGACAATCTGATATGCTGGAAAGCGGTCGTAGATCCAGATATGTTATGGGTTTTGCACCACTCAAAAGTGTGATAGTCTTATATAACTGACCGGAGTCTTTCGGGACCGAAATACTGCATTGGTTAACTTTGTCTACTTTGTGTTTTCTCACAATGAGTATTGATGGTATATTCAGACAGTTAACTGAAAATAGCTGAGCAGCTTTGGTCAATCTGCAACATCTGTGACACGGCTGTGATATTCTATCTTGTCCGACGGACTTGTATTACAAAACGGCGGTATGTAGCGCAGTGATGGTCGTGGTACCTTACGCTAGGACTCTTCTTTTTATTAGGCCTCCGGAGCATTACTCGTGTCTGGTGGGAACACCGGATGAGTATTGACGAGGTTTATCGTCGTATGCTGGGCGCAGATAGTCGTTCTCTAACAGAAGTAATCGCTCTACACCGCCTTCGACGGTTTAGTCACGTACTGTGTATGCCCTCCCATCGAATGCCTTTCCGTGCTTTCTTCGCACGTGCCAGGCAAGGCTGGAAGAAGCGCCACGGGGTCAGACCATGATATGGCGTAGAGATATGAAGAAGCTGGCTTCAGCTTTGGCTTCGGTCGGTGCAGCCTGCCTTCCACGTTGGGGCCCCATGGGTGAGTATTGTCGTTGGTTAGAGGCGCTAAGAGATATGACTCAGAATAGAAGTCAGTGGTGCGAATGCTGTACGGTTTGCCTGTTGAAGACCCGTGCCTCATAAAAAACGATAAACTAACACAAATATTTTTAAAAAGTGTACGGCGAAACATACCAAATATTGTTATCCCATTTATTGGTATTTTCTTGTTAACAGCTCCGTCTTTTTTCTTATGTTCNCCATACTTGCCCGAAAGCCGGTGTTAAACATATATATGTATTTGTTATTACATTTTTTAATCATTCTGTGTTGTTTGTATGAAATTTTTCTAGATCTGCGTAAAAGCATTTCAAGGTCATCGATGTTTCTACAATCCTGATAAACGTTTCACCAACTATTGCTCGAGGTCGTATGAGTTGCGAAAATTCCGGAAAATTGTCCGACCGTGTTGCATAATGTATTAGGCTGAAATAATAGTGACCGAGAAAGAATATTTGCCATGGAAATATATATTGCTCGGTCCAAAGTTACGTGAAATTGAAGCGGTCTTCCAACTTCTTCCACACGCCAAGTGAATGTTTAGACGGAAGTTAAAAAGCGATTGACTTGGCGCGGAGAAGGCCTCTTTCATCCGCCCCGCTACGCGTGAGTTGTTGCCGTCTTGTACGTTCGCATAGGTACGCCGTTATTCATTGTGACGCCCGAAATACATCATCAGCTGAATGCTGTATTGGCTTGGGTGAATCCACCCATTCCGGGTGAAGTCAGAGACCTTTACTATCCGACAACTCCGACAAACATCACCATTCAGGTCCGTTATAGCGCTAGTGTATTTCCTTATGCACCATTATGAATCGTTCGAGGTAAGGATTTTCTCTTTAAAAAAAGTTACTAATAACTGAACCAGGTTTGGTACCCCGATTAACCGAACACAAGTCCGAAGGAGAACAGCTTGGGATCCCAAGTTAATTAATAACGTAACCGCCACCACCATCATCATCACCCGCCCAAACACCGAAGCACAGGGTTCACCATCCCCTTTCTCCATCTGGAATGGGATCTCATATATCTGCCAGTGATTGGATTACACAATCGCTTTCAAAAAATATCATCGTGTACAGTCGATTTAAATATCTGCTTCGTTTCAGAGATTTTTCCGAAAATAATACAGTTAAGCTCGGATACCAAGTTGAAAATGATTTCCCTCATGCATTGCTTGATTCGCCAGTGCCTAGTGTCATTATTCGTACTACTATTACTACTACTCAAGCCGCCACCCAAATTTCAACATTTGTATCTACTGTGTAGGAGTTGCAATTCAATCCGGATCTGCTACTTCCGGAATCGATGGAAGGTGACGAGGACCTATTCCGATCGGTACGACAAGAGGTAGCCAAAGCCGAAGCCGAGATTTACAGTACCACGGAGAATCGAAAGTCAAAGAAAAAAGGAAAATCGGGCAAGAAAAAGACCTCAAAAACTGGCATGGGCCAAAAGACGTGGATTAAAAAACCCCAATTCTCGCCCGGGAAAGCAACGAATGCTCATAATGTGAACGCCGCGTTGTCAGTCAACGACGACTATGGGCGATTTGCAAGCTCTAGTAGCAGTACGGACACCATGTGATTTGCTACTCAAACTAAATCACACACAATTACTCAGTGGATTTTTGCATCAGTCACATCTTATCCTAGTTCAGGATTTTATGTAAACCGGGTCACAATTCATCCGGATTAACAAGCATCAATATAGTTTCACTTGATCTGATATACCCTTCATCCGGTGATTGTTCAACCTGTGAATGATCAAAGAAAAATCAACTTTCTTTTGCTTCGTCATTCTGTTCATACAGACTCTGTTATGTGTTGCCAAGATGTGTGATCGATCATGTACCTCTTGATTAGCCCCCAACAGTTGCAGAGAGAACACGGCTGAGAAAATGACAGTCAGAGTATACTATGGATCATGAAGCAATAGGCAAATATGGGTGTTAATTAAGGCGAACGAGAAAAGACGTGATGATGGACCAATCGGGTTGCGACCTTGATACTCCGTTCGGTCGATCGGACCGAAGCTGTCTGTTTCGCCTTAGCATCCAATCCGGAATCGATTCGGCTTGGGTGTCACGAACGCACTTGTGGTGTGACACAGGTCGGTGCATGGCT